ATTTTAAAGTAAAGCCACTGTTAAAAAAAGTATAATATTGTGTTAGCTTCCCACTACATAGTTCTGTTTTGTTTGTTTGTTTCTTCACTTTTTGCAATACTACTTTTTAGTAGGGGGTTCATTTGATGAGGGCAAGTGAGCTCATTAATCAAAGTTTTCAGTCTCACAAGTAACAAGTGTTTTCACCAGTTTCTTATGAACAAAATGCTTAACAAGAAACACAACTCAGTGTCTGAACTATGTAGTGGGAGGCTAACACAATATTATACTTTTTTTAACAGTGGCTTTACTTTAAAATTGTTACAGATAAAAGGATAATATCTGAACTTTTTAAACTAAAGCAAATGTAACATTTACCTATTTTTCTAATGGTCTCAACACATGTATACTTTTATTGACAATTTGATTAATTACTTAATGAAACCTTGAAAAAAAAACATTCATTAGACATTTAAAAACTTACATAAGACATGTGAGTTCATAAGCATGAAAGAAGCAAAGACACAAACAACAGTTTGGAAGTACAATTACCATAATTAAGAAAACAAAAGACTCAACTTTAATACATGAAGACACTGTTTTAATTAGACCACTCTTGTTTAACAGACAAAACATACATAGAAACTTTATTTCCAAAAGTGGACATATGGGGAGTGGTGGCGCAGAGGTTAGAGAGGTGGGCTTGTGATCCGAAGATCGCCGGTTCACGCCCCGGCCCCGACAACATCAAAATTGTGGGTGGGGTAGGTGAAACACCCACACTTGCCCCCACCCTCATTCGCCCCACTCTGGGCCCATGAGCAAGGCCCTTAACCCCCACCATGTGCTCCCTAAACAGGTCTCTCTTGAAAATGAGTTCTCGTGGCTCAATGAGACTAACCTGGATAAATAAAGGCTAAATGAAAAAAAAAAAAAGGTGCATAGCTTTAATTTTAAAGATTAAACAAAGAAAGCCACATTTTATTTTGAAAAAATTAAAATAAAAAAATAAAAAAATAATACAATAAACTTTACATTAAAATATTGTATTGTTTTATTTGAAGTTTAATTTCCTCCTCCCATGATTATTATTATCATTTGTTTAAATACATTTGTTAAAGAAACTGCTTGGGCAGGCAATACTAATCAAGATAAAGGAGGTAAATAATTTTTAGTAAATAAATGACTGGACATTTTTCTTAGTTTACCATACATTTAAGCCACAAAAATAGGTTGAATCTTTTCTGAGTTGTGTTCATATCTTGGTCTTTTATGCACTTTAAACTTGTGTTTGAATGTGCAACATCGACTTATAACAGAGGCTTCCGGAAGGTTAATTGGTATAGACATTTTGTTATACCCTTCAGTGTTTGTCAAGTTTTATACATTTTTGATGACATTTTGCACTATGAACTGTTACATAGCCTTGTTCTTTATTTTAAAACAACATGTTTCACATAAACTCCAGGGCATTCTGGAGTACTCATTGGCCTTGGGCTCATAATTTATAAACACATAGGAACTTCTTTATTTTGTGTGCTTTCAGTCTTAGACATAATCCACTTTACCTTACTTATATTCTACATGTGCTCTTATGTCTATGCCTACATATTGCCCTGAAAATGAATTTAAGTCAAATACTAATACAAAAAGTTCAAGTTATTATCACCATCCAAAAGCAAAAATCCAAGACCCCGCTTTTTCTGACCAAGAAATTCATTCCGTTTTTACTATTTTTGTGTTTATCAGAGTCAACAATGTTCACATAACCCACTATATGAACAAAAAAATATTAAGGCACACCACTTAGTTGTTGAATTCACAATTGTTTAAAAGCCTACTAATAATAATACAAAGTTGTTATAGCTGCAAATAAGGTATAAATTGCATCCAGTCAGTCTGCGATGATCAGATGTGTCCATGTACTTTTGTCCTTAATGTCTACATTGGGATATGTCAAATTAAATATTAGAGAGGTTATTGAGACACAAATGTTTTTTTAATGACAATATTTTCAAGATTGAATTTGCAAAATTAGCTCTAACCCCTTAGTTTCAAGTGTACCCATGATAAATCATATCAAAGCCACATGCATTATCCGTTCCCCTATATCAGAAACATAATTGGCAAATGTCAATTCCTTGAGGTGAACTTGCAAAATGTAAGGGTTGGGCTAAGGATAGGGTGAGGCGGTAAAAGTAATTCAGCCTCTGTATATATTTCAGATATATATTTTTATATTTTAAATTATGTATAAAACCTTAAAGATCTTAAAATGCAAATATATTGCAAACGCATACTTTCGTTTACAATAAAAAACACATTACTGAAACTCTATAGTCAATGTGAGAGTACTGTCAATCAAAATTAACTACCTTCCAGTTAACACATCTGAGTATTCCTTCTTGTTTCTCTTTTTCATATATACTGTAATACATGAGCTGAATGCAAGCGGAGGGATGTAAGTGTGATGGAGACATAGTATGTTCCCTTAAAAGCCACAGCTGCAGTGCATACCTCTACTTCCCTCAGCAGCATGTCTATCTTGACTAACTGTCTGCATAAATGTGCAGATAAACACTTTGCGAGCAACATCAACTTAAAGCTCTATGAGTTCCCATGGGACATAGATTAGAGAAAAAAAAAAAACTTTTTGGTGTAATGAGGCGTCTGCATTATTCATGAAAATTTGACAGGTTTGACTAACAGTTCCAAGGACTTATTATTACCCTAATATAGAACATTACGTTATTACAAATGTAAATGATTTTTAATCAGAAATATATTGTTTTTTTTATTTTTAATTTTATGTACTGTTCTATTATAAGTATTTTCTTCTTCTTTCTGTGCCCTACTCATTCAATATTTTTCTTTTTAATGGATTTGTTTCTTTTAATTGAATTAAAAAATGAATAAATACATGAAGAAATACTGTTGGGAAATTTGTATTTCCATTTAATGTGGTTCAAAACTGACCACTGTCAGACAAAATGCTCTTTGGTTGAAAGTAAAAATGAAAACAAAACATATATAAATAGACATCTCTAGTTCGATCTCTAAACTGAACTCATTTAGCAAAGCAAAATAAGTTCATTCTGAAAAGACTGTAGGGACATTAAAATAGTTCCATCATGAAGTTGTGTTTCTGCAGAAAATTCTTCAAATGTCTCAAATTTTTTTTTTATAATAATAATAAACGTTCCTCTTACTATTTGCTGAGGTGTTTCACTTACAACTGAAAAATCGATGTAAATCAGCAGCTTTTTAATTTGTTTTTTACTTTCTTTCTTTTTTGGCAAACAAAACCCCAGTGACATTTAAGTGATTGTAGAAACATAAAACAGTGACAAGGTTTCAAATATATCTCCTAACCATAGATAATGTGTATATTTATTTATGTTATACATATTAAAACTGTGACTGTATACAACTCTGTCAAAATGCTGTGGTTATACAAAGTGTTGTTACTTTTTCTCACCCTCACTAATTGCAAAAAACATCTGAGTAAAGAAAAAAATGGGTTAATCAATCAAGAGGCATGGCATAATGCTATGTACAGTATGCCGTATAATTTCCTTGGGTGTTCTGTGCTTCTGAGGCAATTAAAACGTGCAACAAGTTTAGATTAAAGCTGCAATGTATACAATTTACAAACACAGAATATATGAAACTTATTAAAACAACTATGTCCTCTTGATTACTGCAAATTAATTTTTCTGTAATACACACATTATTATTTAATAACAAAATATACGTGTAGTGAGTGTTTTGAATAGATGAACTTTCAGTTGCTGATTACAATTTCAGTACAGTGCTGCCTATTCTACTTTATGTACATATTGCACATACAACATTGAAGCTTAGGGAGGTTTCTGGTACTTTAACATAATTATATACAAAGGTCTATTTAGACCAACATTTAGAATCAGTATCAGTTAAAAAAAATTAATTAAATAAAAAATAACAACTTTTGCCATGGGATTTCTCTGTTGTATCAGTTAAGATAATGCTACAACACACCAAGTAAATATGCTTCCAATCAGTAAAGTATATTTTTAATATAAAAATGCGACAAATTGACTGAAATAATAAGATAAGTCAATACAACAAAGCAAAAAACAAAACAAAAACATTTTAATCAGAATAAGCATACTGTACAATCAACACTAGGATCAGTGATTTTAACTGGCAGAGCTGACTTGGTGTATTGTGGTTTTAAACACTGATCACAGGGTTGAGCTAACATGCTGTGTTGTTGAATGCAAGTGGATGAATTTACACTACACAGTGTGGTGAACTTAAAAAAAAAATAGATAAACAATAGGAAAATGTATGGAAACCCTGACGTTAATTTTGCACTGATTTTTACACATAAAATTGAGGAAAAAAGGTGTGTCTACTGCAAAATATATATAAAAAAAAAGTATTTTGCTAAGCACATTTTAATTGCTTATCAAACAGAGAATAGAAGTGCAACATCAAAAAACAGTTAAATGAAAAATCAAATGGCTTATTCTTTATCACGGATGAAAGTGCCATTTGTTTAACCTATTAAATTATTCTTTATTATTTAATATTCTATGCTTTATATATTTTGTTGGTATTTGCATTGCATCACCTACTTTAGGTTAAACCATTTTACAATTACACAAACAACTTTTTTTTTTTTTTTTCATTTGTAGGAAGTTTGGCATACTTTAATTACCAGAACTGACTTATTTGAGTCAGACTGACCTGACCTCTCCTGGATCTTCGGTGACCAACACATCAGTCTTGCAGCTCGCAATGGGGTTGATTGACAGTTCCACTGGTGGCACTACAAAGCTTTTGCTGACTGGCAGCCACAGACCTTGGCTCAGACTGTAGAACGGTCTGTGTTGGCATGACAAAAAGACATAAATGTCAGATGTGCTCTAATGAAATTATCATATTTTCTTAGTATGGACCATTACACACTAAACAACACACAATACAAACATAAATATACACAATGTTGAATGTCATAAAAAATGACTGCACAGTAAAACTAACAAGTTTAATACTTGTGAGGCAAAAATATGGTTGAAATATTGCCAGTTAGACTTGCAATAAAACTTTATTTTATGTTATATTTAAATGGTGACTAATAAATAGCTTCTGATCTCGTATGGGCAGTGGGAGGCATACTTCCAGTAACAGCAGAACTAACTTCCCATTTAGCTGATTAGCGCTTTTGCTAACTTTGAAAACCTTTATTGGAATTAGCTCCTGCTAAACTTAAATCTGGTAAATTCAAGTCCGCTTTATTTTTTTTTGTTGGTGTTTTTAAGACAATTCTCCACATTAAAATTGTACAGGACAATGGTGATTTACACAGCTATGCTATGCTATGCTGAGCTAAGCAATGCTAAGCACCAACCGGTGATGTCATCACCCTTTCAGTGCCCTCCCACCCCCATATCTACCTCAAACAGTCTCTGGCTCATGGTGTCGGTTCACAGTCCATAACAGAAACTTTAACATAAATACAAACCAAACCAGAACAGGAAAATAACATGAAAATCTCTAAAAGATGGTAAAAAGTATGAAACAGTGCACACATACAGTCATTTCTACTCAACACGCTTTTCAAATGCTCACACTGTCTCTGGGATGTGACTCTCTCACACATTTCACACATCTTTACTTACATTTAAACATAGAGAATATTGATGATGATGCACAGTGATTTTGTAGTTAGTTAATAAAAGTAAATAACCACAAAGAGATCACCACAGTGAGGGTTAATTAATTATAGTAAATGACATGAGGGAGATATCCAACACATTGAACGCATCACTCTGCTTCAGCACAGTGGTGTTCTGCTCAAACTCTTTGGTTCCAATGGACTGGATTAATTTCTGAAAGCTCACTTCTGAATGGGACATGGATACATTACCTGTGATTTATGAACTGCTTTGAGTTGTGTTCATTTATAATGTTGTCACACTACAGACAGTCTTATAGTGCCCGTGACAGCAGTGTACGATAAAAGTTAGCACTTTGCCATTAGCTTTCCACATTTTTTTTAAATATGTTTAGTGGTTTAGGGTTAGCAAATCAACTTTTTTAGTTAACAAAATAGTATTAGTGAAGCTAACTTTTTGATTAACTGTGTCCACCACTGCATATGGGTTATATTTACCTCAACGAATCAATAAATGAGGAATTATGAGTCATGTTTAGATTAGTTGGATCATTCATCTACATTTTTCTGCCTTATTGTATAAAAACGTAATAAAAAATGACTGTCTGCATTATTGTTTGCATGACTTGGACCTTTGTGCACCGTAAGTGGTAAAAATGGTACTAAGATATTCTTAATAGTACTCCTTGATATTTGAGGAATAAAACTACAAAACACAAAACATAAGAATATATAATGTGGCTTCAAACAAGTTTCTTAAACATTTGGGGAAAACTGTTATAAAACCTTTTTATTCTGAACTCTTCTTCAGATCATGTACAAACTTAGATCTACTGTTTGCTAATACATTATTCTACGGTTCTGTTACAGCAAGGCAAAAACAGCTCACAATGAAGATCTTGTGAGGCAACTGGTTTAAATGTTGTTTTGTGGTGAATCTGTGGCACAGTTGGTAACAAACAATATTTGAAGAAACACATTAGAGGAAGCTGTGGGGGAGTGTAGTGTCTGATGTGTGTGCGCTGGTCCCCTGTGACCATGCAAGGGGCTGTGACTTGTCATTCTGGAATAATAACACATGTATTTATTTTTTTTACAAATAGCACAAGAGATATTAGCTTTTATTGCATCTCATGCTTTTAATGGTTTTGGAATAAAAAGCTAAAAAAAAAAAAAGGTGTTCAAAGGCTATTCAAATGTGTACAGAATTTCCCTTAAATCACACTAAGGTACAGCTGGAACAATATGCATCTTTTTGAAGTGGTTGCGGGCTTGAATGTTTTGGTGTGCAATGACGTTTAGTAAGTCGAACATTCCATTGTGTATACAAAACCCAATCTGTTGGGATATTCTGCTTCAGTTTTCATGACAATGCCAAACCACACAATGAAAGTTCTTCTTATACAAAACCTTGACTAGTGTCAAAGAATCCAAACACATTTCTGCCTGCTGGCTTCAAATATGTATGGCTTCTTTACAATTGTTTGACAATTTAACATATTTGACTTAAATCCATTTCTTGGTAGCCCTCATACCTTGAGATCAAAAGATGCTTATTTTCTGACTGTTTCTAGCATCAGGAAGGGAGTTAAGAGGGGGTTACAATGTTTTATTGAACTCTCAGACTGCCAAACTAATCCTTGTTACAATAAACCTCTTTTTTTTTTACTGACACAATGGGCTGGCTCTATCCATTTTGCAGTTTGCTGCAGTTTTCTACACACCTATTCCACACAGAAATGATTCACAACTGTTTCACTTTCAGGGCCACTGAAGGCTTCCACTTTATTGCCGGAACTTAATTCAGCATGTGGGTTATCTGTATATGTGTGTTCAAGGCTGAATACATTTTACACTGTAACTGGATGGGTGTGCTTCGTTACCGTCTACCTTTTGTGTGTGCTGCTGGCTCTACAGCATATTGTAGTGCTTCTAAATGGCTGTGCACAGTTGGAAGGTGAAGAGAGAGTCTTTATTGTGCAGAAAATAAACAGAAAATTCACATCTCATAGAGGACTGCACTGGCGTGGCTATCTCTGCAAGGTCAGTGGGGAAAAAAAAAAAAAAAAAAAACTTTATGGTGCCAAAGTATTCATCCTGCCTGGAAGCGGTTGTAGCACAAAATAAAGTTAAATTTCACAAACCTGTTCCTTATCTTTTTTGAATGTAGACCAGTAAATGGTAAATGGACTGTACTTATATAGTGCCTTTCTATCTTATTTCAAGATACTCAAAGCGCTTTACACTACACTCTGTGTCCTCATTTACCCATTCATACAGCACTCTACTATATCTCTACAAAGCTAATTGAACAAATCACTCTAATGAGACTAATAAGTGCTTTAGATCACATTCATACACTGATGGGACACACATCAGAGGCTATGACGGGTTCAGTGTCTTGCCCAGGGACACTTCAGCATGTGACTGCTGGTGGATTCGAACCCCCAACTCTCGCATTGGAGGACAACTGCTCTAACCACTCAGCCACAGTCGCCCACTATACAGTTTGTTGTGAGGGCTGGTTAAAAAGGGCAGCTGAGTGATACTGAATGAGGCTTTTCACTTCATGAAAAATGTCAAACATGATGATCCCATCAATACAGGGAAGTGTACTGAAAATGGCAGTAAAAGCCTTTGAATGGATTCCAGCCAAAACTGCTCCCTGGGCTATTCTGCATACAAACAGACCGACCATTGGTGAGACTTCCCTCCAGCACGAGGTGTATTTCTTATCTATCCAGTTATACATATGTGCATCTGCCACCCACTTATCAGTATGCTCCGTCTGTCACACACATGCAGCTCACAGGAATTCATGCCAGGAACTCAGGCACTGTGTGTCCATGGAGTCACAGATGACTAGTTCAAGTCATGCACTCAAGAGACGCATCGAGGCGTAGGACTCACCTGAAGATCCTCTCTGGGGCCTGTTGCCCAGTAACAAGGTCATAACCTTTCTCCAAGTTTGCATATGGCCAAGGACTAGACATAAGACAAGAAAGAGGAGTCAAGATGACAAAAATACAATTGTAAACGTATTTTGTTTAATTATGTGTTTTAGTTTTTTTTTCCATGTAAATGCAAGCATATTTATGCTGTCCAAACTGATATCTTAAACAACCCTGTTTAAATGTTAAAAAAAAAAAAAAATAAATAAAATGCATTGCATTCAAAAAAAGCTAATCTTATTTTAGATGTTGTTTTCTCAGTATGAAACATATGTTCTTTACCAAGTCATAAAACCTGTAGTAATGCAACCTCAAGTGAATAGGTTTTTGTTTGATAAGTGATCTTTTCTTTTTCTTTTTTAAATAAATTATCCACCAGCATGCATAAAAAGTAGATAAAAACAGTCTGCTGCATGATTCAATAGGTTTTATAACCATTGATACTTGTATTCATATTTGTTCCTGGTTTTATTAGTTACTTTATTTATTGTGAAATGTCAGTTCAGTCTACTTGAAAATGTTACTTGCTATAGTTCTATTCACCTGTCAGACAGACTCACATCTGACTGAAAAAAACAACAAAACAACTTTGGTGCATAGAGTTCAAGGTCAGTTCAATGAGTGCAAGGTGTCAATACCCTGTTTCTCATAATGAGCCAAATTTAAAAATGTACTGTCTAAAATATTTATTTTGGGTACTCAGTATGCAGTTAATTTTGTGACTTGTGTTTCACACACAGTCATTTTCCAGCAGGGCCATTCTTCATAGTAAATGCACATGGTAAATAACCATACAATACCAAAGTGGCACAGTGTAGAAGAATACAATTTATGATTCAACTGAACATCTATGGGAAATTTCAAGTTTGAGTTGTTTTTAATGATTATTTTTAATGAGTTATCTTGGATAGCAGAATTGCTTGAATCCTCTATGATACATTATCTCTGTGATTCTCCAGATTGACATTGCTCTGACTGCTATAAAAAGTCAAAGTCATTTTATTGTCAAAAACTGCAATATGTACAGGACATACACAGGATTGAAATTACATTACTCTCAGACCCCTGGTGCAACAATAACCATTTAACATTAATACATTTAATACACATAAGCATAAAATGAAATAATAAAAGTATGATACTAAAAGTACGACAATCTACTGCAGATATGACACTGACTACTCAGAACTCATTCACAAAAATCCACATAAAAAAAATCTGAACCATCCCTTTATTATTATGATTTTGCATTTAACACTCTGAATCTTGACGACTGTAAAATGCAGCTCTTCTGGTCATTTATCTGAGGATTACAGTTTAAACATTTTCACTGCGGACTGGTGGACACCTATTGTTTGCAAAAGGCATTATAATATTTCCCAAATTGATTGACAGCAACTATTGCTTCTCTAACAATTAATAAATGTTTATTTATTTTCTACTTGACATTTTACTAATTCACACAAAAATGCTCATGAAAACTGTCTGCTTTTGCAGACATTGTATAATTTACTGATACTCAGTTGTTTAAATGCACTTGGCTAAATCCTTTGGAGGCCATAAAGGTGTTCATAGTTTTACCAAAAATACTTATTCTGTTTTAGAATTTGGCAACAAAATATTGATAAATAATGTGCTATTCATCTGAGATTGTATTTACCACATTTTAAGACCCACTGAGAACTAAAGGACAACTCTTATGATTTGATAGATACAACTTGAGAGTTCAAAAAGTGTATGACATTTTTTTCCCATGACTTTTTATTAAAAGTTAACTATAAACTAAGTCTACTCTGTCTTTTGATCAAATATTTTCTGTGGATTAGATTAACTGCTGCTGCTCCTTTTACAAAGCAATACAGGGACATGTGATCATTGACTGGTCTGAGGACATCAAATGACAAGCGAGGCTGAATGAGGAAAAGTGAGCATTGATTGAAAAAGCCAAATAATTGTCAAGCAAGGTCATAGAGAGTGATCCTGTCTCTCTCCCTTTTCAGCAGCTTTCCTTCAGTCTCATGTTTTATGTCCTCCCCTGTTCATTTGTTTAATTACACCCTATAACTTCCCTCCTACATACTTATTACTGAAGACTTGCTGCCTTCTTGGCAATTATTGTGAACACTGTGCAAAACACATGGGTGTTTCAGCCCATTAACTACAACTCCTTTAAATTTTACACTCCTGAAAGCATACTGCAAGTTGTGGGAGTAATTTTGAACTTTGAGTTTATTAATTCTAATACTCAAGAGCATCAACCTACACTTTAGGAATTTAAATTTTCCTGGAGTTAAAAAAAATATATTTATTTAATCAATCACCATTTCCTTTATGTAAAGTTGTAAATAAATACTAGTGGGGTTGAGGTTAAAACCACTAAAATAAAATTCTATTAAAGTAGGAACGAGTTTTCAGACATGAGAGGAATGAGCAGACAGGACTTACCCTTCGTTGCGACCCCAGTCGCTGCGAACACAAAGGTGTTTATGGACAGGATCAGGGGAATAACCCTCATGACAGCTGCATTCTCCTGCATTAAAAAAAGTGTAACAAAAAAACAGAGGCAAACATTTATTTTTATCCTCTAGGTCAATTAATTATCATTTAATTCAGCTTGGATGCCTGGTTCATTAAAAACGCATTAAGCTGTTGCTAATGTACATAATTTTCCAGCTAATTTTCTTCACTGAGGTAAGGGTTGTAATACATTTGCAGTGGCAGTGATACTATAAGGATGGTTTTGATTTATTTACCTAAACATGTGCAGCAACAAGCCATCATAATACAGTTTTATATATTCACTGCATCAGCACAGAAAAAAATAGTTGCCTACATGTTTTCAAACCAGGGAATCTGTCAAGAGTACTTTGGTATCTGCTTCTGGTGAAAAGTACATTGGCAGTTTTATACATACATCTGAGCTGGGGCTTTTTATGTCTTTTTTTTTTTTTTTTTTTTTTTTGCAGTTGATAGGACAGCTTGCAATGCAGAACAAACTGATGTATTCAAATATGGACAGCTATTCAGCTGGCAGAACAGTAGTCGATCGTGCAGGTCAGGTCAGGTCAGTTACTCACTGGTGCAGCACCCTCAAACTCGCCTTTTGCGCTAAAGCCAGCCACTGAGCTCCTCAATCCAATCACTGAACAACAATGTCACAGCACATAGCTTCAAGTTTCACAGAGATGATCACTGAATAATAAAATATTTGAATTGCATTTGCTGAAAGTGACCCTTTTTGAACAGGATGCATACAATGTTGTATCATACTGCCCTGTGTTGTGACTAAAATAAATAATCCAAGAATAAGAAATAATACATTACTGCTTTGATTATGTGTGCCACCACCTAGTTACAAAATAGATTCACATGTGTATTTTTTTTCTTATTGAAGTGATTTTTGTTGAGTCAATAATTTATTGCAGAGACATACTGTTAAAGTGCACCTTGTAAAGCCTGTTTTTATGGACATCTAATACAATAAAGTTGCAGCAATGGCAATGGATAATGTTTTATGTAGAAGAAAAGCTTATGTTTGAATTCATATATAATGCTTGAACAGATGAATAGAAAGTATGAAAACACACAGCATCCCAGCAGTTTGAGACCTGCCAAGAAGGACATAAATAAAGACAACTAAAGTCGTTAAATGTCAATGCTAAATATTAAGTTACTGAGAGCTAAATGAACCACTATATAGGCACTGCTTATACCTGCCTTATGCTGACCTGTTTGAAGGCACAAAACTATACAAATTCATATTTTATCACCTCAGGAGGGAGTGGAATCAACAAACTTGGAACTGTCAAGTCCAAGTAGACGGATCAACATCTGCAACCAGTTTCTTCAGATACGCTGTAAGAGGGACCGCTGCGGGAGGCCGCTGCTGATGACATTCTCATGCTGCTGTATTCATTCATACCCATCTACTCACTATATACTCATGTTCGGGCTGCTGTTTAATATACCATATTATTTTATATTATTAGTGTTTAGCGTATATTTTAGCTCTATTAGCATATTGTTTAGTGTTCATTTAGCGTATATCTTATCACTTTATATACTGTTTCTTTTTATTCTTCTTTGTATACTTTATACTTTTGCTATTTTTGGGTGTAATTGGGACATTGAGTACACAATTTCGTTCCACCTCATGTACCACATGTGATGTGAATGACAAATAAATAAACTTAAACTTGGGAGATCTTTCCTGCCCACAGCCATCAGCCTCTATAACTACTCTTTAATGAAACCAGGATAATGACTTTAAATTTGAATTTGAATCTGAAATGTGTTGGTGCCCATTTTTAAGAACAAGGGTGATGTACAGAGTTGTATAATCTACAGCAGAGTTAAGTTTATGAGTCACACAATGAAGATGTGGGAGAGAGTTGTGAAGCTAGACTTTGATGAGAGGTGAGAATTTGTCAGGAGCAGTTTGGTTTCATGCTGAGAAAGAGCACCACAGATGTCATCTTTGCTTTGAGGGTAGCTGATGGAGAAGTGAGAAGACTCTACAGTGAGGGTCTGAATGAACTTAATTGCATCTTTGTGGATTTAGAAAAGCATATGACATGTTGTTATGGGAGGAGGTGTGGTATTGCATGAGGAAATCTAGAGTTGCAGAGAATTATGCTAGACTGGTACAGGACATGTATGAGGACAGCAGGACAGTGGTGAGATGCGCTGTAGGAGTGACAGATAGCGTCAAGTTGGAGATGTGATTGCATCAAAGATCAGCTTTGATCCCCTTCTTGCTTGCTCTATTGATGGACCAACTAACAGTCAAGGTCAGGAAGGAATCTCTGTGGGCTATGGTGTTTGCAGACAACATTGTGCTCTGTAGTGAGAACAGGGAACATGTGGACATTATTTAGAGGTGGAGGTATGCACTTAAAAGAAGAGGAATGGAAGTCAGCCATAGTAAGGCAGAGTACATGTGTGTGAATGAGAAGGAGACAAATGGAGCAGTGAGGCTACAAGGAGCAGAGGTCACAAAGGTGCATGACTTCAACTGCTTAGGGTCCATTGGCCAGGAAGTGGCAGAGATGAAGATGTTGAGGTTTTCCTTAGGGGTGACAATAATGGACAGGATTAGGAATGAAATCATCAGAGGTACAGCACATGTTGAACAACTGGGTGATATATGTAGAGAGGTTTGTACATGTCCAGAGGAGGGACAGTGGGTATATTGGAAGAAGAGTGTTAGAAATGCAGCTGCCAGGAAAAAGACAAAGAATAAGGCAAAACAGGAGATATGCAGTAAGACAGGACATGGAGGTAGTTGGAGTATAGATGGAGGATGCAGAGGTCAGAGTGAGATGGAAGAGGATGACTCGCTGTGGCAAAACCTGAAGAGGGAAAAGCCGAAAGAAGTCCCATATGCCCATAAGACGATTTGATTTAGCCCACAATGCACAACACATTATATTAAGCACTGCTAATGTCAGTTTTAGCTACCTTATCCGTGCATTATACAGTATGTCAGTTACAGCAGAGACAAAATTGTAGTTTTCCTATTTACTCAAGTTTTTATTCTATTCCACCACAACGTGCACACTTTAAATTGTAAGACTGCAGTTACTTCCTGTAGTGATTTTCAATGGTATTCTTACTGTGCAATAAGAGAACTCTTGTTTAAATAAAACCAGTGAGGATTTACAAAAGGCATGTAAATAAATGCATGTTTGATTATGTATCAGATTTACTTAAAACCTAGCTTATTCTGTATTTTTTAAAGTCAAATATTTGATTTTGATAAAACTGGAGCCTACACAACTCTATGTTAATAACGGCTCTGGAAATAAAACTGTGGATGTCAGTTTTTTTAAATTTACTTTTTATTTTACTTTATGTTTAATGAATAATTAAAAGCTTGATCTGCTACTGTAGTGTCAGTTCAATGCATCTTGTTGTAGAAAAAAAATACAATATGTTACCTTATTTCTCTTATTTATAGTTTGTCATCACCTGAATGCAATGATATAGGTTGATATGTGTAACTATTTAAAATTGAAAAGTTTTTCCAAAATTGACAATACCAAATTTGGCAAATACGTATGGAAGCACAAATAAATGAGTTACTTACACTCTTCGATTACACACAGAAATCTAACTAAGGAATCAGAAGAAGCTCATGTTTTCTCATCTCCAAGTGTAGGCTGTAAAGCTACCAATAGATCTATTTCCAACATCTTTTCCACCTTGTTTCAAATGAGGTGCAGTAGCCTGGAAGCACATTCTTCCTGTAATTTGAAACACCTTGAAAATAATCATTAGTGTGACTTCTTTATTTCAGCATAGGCATTTAAGTAAGGATAAAGCAATTAACGGGAAGATTAATGTTTGCTTGATTACACCGTCTGTTGAGTTAACCTTTACACAATTTCACAAGCACGTGCTTTATGTGTCTCTTTCTCCCATTTAAATGGGAAGACATATAGCTGATGAATACAAAAAAAACAAGAATACAGTGGTTGCAAAGCAAAACTGAGTGTCGTTTACTGAAGTTCTAAAAGTTTATTGGCATCAAAAAAAGAGTGTCAGGAAGAAATTATTCAGACGTGGGCAATAAAGATACCTTTTCAGTACAATTCCATCACTCAGAATTATGACCAGTGATCATTAAACTTGAATGTCACTGAGCTGCTCACCCACTGTGACAGCCGCACTCCTTTTGCATTTGAAGTTGGGCAAAGTTATCTAAAAATTACCTATAAAGATATTATCCATATCCATGTCCACAACCTGCTGTGTGAGGGTCTATGTCCTGGCTACAACTGTTTTGACAATGTTCAACCTTGTTTAAAAAAAAAAAAAAGTTTTTTTGTTTTTTTCAGCAACAGTGTCTTCGATATTTTAGAGTTGTGTGAATTTAATAAATCAATACTGTATTTTGATACATTTTCTGTTTCTGAGAGAAGCAAATGACTCAGCCTAACTGCTTCCTGTTGGTTATTTCCTATGCAACTTTAATAAATCCTCTGCATGTTTTGTAGAGATTAACTGTGCCATCAGGGTTTAGATAAAGTAGGTTAAATCAGGGATTCTAAACGATGTAGCTGACTGATTACAACATACTGTAGGCCTAATTTGGAGAAAATCTCGAGAACAATTATCTAATGATGTACAACCACAGTGTCAGGACAAACATACAGCCAAACAATGCACTATGACATATTTTTGCTAAAACTAATACAATATTATCTATATATTTAGTTCATATGGTCAGCCTCTTCCTTTCCCTCTCTCCTCTTCTGTTCCTTTTTTTAATTCAATTAGCCAAATGAGTTAAAAAAGAAGTAATCAATTGAAAAAATTAAATAAAAGTGACTCTCTTCCTCCTGTTTCACATGACGTCAGAAATGATGAGCTTCACTGTAATAATTTCTGTCTCACTCTAGCTGCGTGGATGATTTTCACATTTCAAGGTTCATCGTGTTGGTACAGAAGAGTTATTATTGAACCGATGCCTGTTTGTGCTTGTAATAGTATTTTCAAGAAAATAAGCTATTCCACCCAATGACCCTG